GGCCTGTGAAAATGTTGGGACAGGAATAATTGGGGTAGTTTTGCACTCCTAGTGATGGGCTCCTGTTTTAATAGTAGCTTTCAATAGGAAACTAGGTTTGCTTGAAGAACACATAACCAGGAGAGATCGTTGCAGTCATCTAGTAGATAAAGTCATCTAGTTAATCATAAATGATAAATAAATCAAATTTAAATTTAGTTTTCAAGGATTTGTATTGAAAATCTTTACAGCATGCTTATAAATTTTATTATGCTAATTAATTATGCTAATCAATTATGCAAATTAATGTCCGATCAAATTGATGAGATGTCCGACCAAAATGAAGATTTGAAAGGACACATGTCCTGTTAAAGAAGAAAAATTATTTCCAGCACTGTGACCACATGCCATTATCACTTACATGACAAATAGGAGACCAATCAGAATCAAGAATTTTGTTAAAGTTATGATTAATTAATTAATTTATTTAATAGTGGGATAAAAAAAGAGAAATATACACGAATTCAGAAGAAATGAGGTGACCCAGAAACAAAGATCAATCATTGCTTACAATTGTCTGAAAAATCGACCAGTTTAACACAAAATATGATCATCAATATGATATATAACCTTACGAGGAAATTTAGAACTCATGATTAGGGGTCCTTATAGTTGAATATAAGCTTAAAAAAGCCTAAAATGGGTTTTTGTTGATAAAAATTGGCTATTTATCCATGCTCAAAGAGTTTTACTTTCAATCTTTGAGGAAGCCGTGTCTAAACGAAAGAAGAATCATCTAACATAAAAACGTCATCGCGGCACAAAACAAAGAGAAAGAACAACGTGCAAAGGAAAGGTACACGCATTGGAAAAATCATGCCAAGTCGTGACGAACTTACCATTTGGATGCCAGAAATCCGATATAAATCTCATTTTCGGTGGTCTTTGTGGGTATTCTTTAGGAAAATACAAGTGCGCTTTGAACAAGCCTCCCTCGCTACAGCAGACAACAAAAAAAGGACAGAATGAGCTTTAGACTTGTAAATATTAAGGGAGGTAAAACATGTACACGAGACCACGGAAAGAGCGCCCTGTATAATCACGACTACAAAAGCATTTTTTGCGCAAACTTACTAAAAGGTGTCCGGGGGTCCAACCACCATTAATTCCCATTTAAAAAGATTGTCATCGTCGATAAGGCCAGCAGAAAAACCTTCAGTCGGATTCTTGGTTAGTTCTGGTGAAAGGAAACGACGCCATCGAATTAGCATTGCATTGGCACAAATATCACGCAAAAACAGCCACAGTTTTGGCTAAAAACCGAGAAAGATCGCATACCCTTAAGCTGTCTCTTGAGAAGAAGAGCACCTTGTTGTTCTGCACTCATTTAGCTGGCCAACAAGACAAAGTACGCCGTTTGAAGACAAGTCTTAAAACAACCAAAGACCTCTCAAAATTTTTCGAACTTCTCACGCATACTCTGTGAGTAATTTACCTCGTTTTCATGCTGCCCGCAACCGGAAGTCAACTCATATTTGAAGCTTCCTTGTTCCGGTTAAACGAAATCAAAGGCACGTTGTTCTTACTCTTTAGACCCAGAGAGAAATGGTTTTGTTACAGTGTACGAATACTATATGAGACCAGTCTTGTCGCTTGTTACCTAATCACCAAAGCGGCACATTGAGTAGGAAATGACTTGTGTCAAGTATCAGAACAAATTGTCAATCATATATGACGTATCAATTGATTCCTTGAGAACTGCTAACCAAAGAACCGTATGCTCAGGAATCGTCGCCATCTTGGGATTTCTCAAGGGTCCTTCCTCGTTCCAAGATTACTGAACCTTGCCAGGCAGTCACTCTTTCCATGAACCCTGATTCGTTCGCAGATGAGCAAACAGTCTCCAAACTTACAAAAACTCAAAGCTCTTCACCGCCAAACACGGAGCAAGGGTTTACTGGCGATAGCAGTTGCAGCAAGTGAGACCAATGGATTGGAGTTGTCAGAGGTCTCCATAATAAGCCTACCCAAAAGTGAATCGAACTGTGTCCATTCTGGAACGCTGCTGCAGAAAGCTGAAGAATTTTGCCGAAAAACTCGTGTGGTCGCAAACAAGTGCAAGGTGTTTGTTGGTAACGTCAGTTATAGAGTGAAATCTAGAGAGTTGAAGGAATTTTTCAGCTGTTTTGGTAAAGTGATTTATGCTCAAATCATCGCGGATCGCATCAAAAAGCGTTCTCGAGGGTGAGTATAATTAACAAATACAGATGCCAAAGCCATTTGCTATACTTTCATAAAAAGCAGAGGAATGCAAGAGTATTTTACAGCAGTTTACATAGTCCATGGGATTGTCTGCGGCAAGTCTAAATAATGGTGAGGGGTAGGGGGTGAGTGGTGAGGGGTGTTTTCATTACCATTATTGAGAGCTTACCATAGAGAGGCTAACCTGAGCGTTATTCAGGCTAACTACAGTAATGCTATCCAGAATGACAATGGGTGTTGCCCAGGTTTGCGGAGACAGGGCTGGGAGGTGTGCAGCTGCAATTGCCTAGCTCATCTGTGGCTTTGCACAGGGTTCTCCTCACTTAGCTCAGCTTTTTTGGCAGGGCATTGCTGTCTGTCACAGCGGTTCAGCCGTAATCATAAACCCTGTCAGTGAGGCAGGGGGCATATCAATTTTGTTAGACTTGCTTGGCATAGGATACCGGTCTCTATGTCCACTTTGCAGTACAGGCATGAGGCACTCCCTTGGTATGGTGCCATGTGCCCCAAGCCCATCATCCCCCATCTAGTCAGTGGGTCCTATCCCCTCTGAGGTTTTGCCAGTATATTCCTCACCAGTTTCACCCACAAATGAAAGTTTATTTTTAAAAAAAAGTTTCACCC